TATTTTAAATAATTAAAAAAGTAAATCAGAGACATATTTATAGTAATTATACAGGCAAATTTGCCTGCAAATCTCTATCAATTAAGGGATAGCTTGGTACTCAGCTATCTAAGTTCGAACCGATTATATTTTATCTTTCTTCTAAACTTCTTCCACCAATGTTTGAGCAGAATATATTTTCTCCTACTTCTGCGTAGTGCCAACATATAAGCCAATTTATAAAAGAAAGACTTCTTTTAAGAGCCGATCTCTTCTTTTAAGTTATCTCACCTTAAATTTTAATAATATTTTCCCGAACTCAATCCACTTAAATTTCAGCAGATTATACATATTATCTCCTACTTCTATATAAGACTAACATATATGCCAACATTATAAGGAAAGATACATTTAAAGAAACTTTCTAAAAGCTTTCTCATAACCGAAAAAAAATAGAAATTGTTCTAAAAAAGAAAACAAAAACAAAAAAGAAAATGAAACAAATAGAAAAAAAGGAAAGAGGAACCTAAACCGATTCTAATATAAATGAAAAAAGATGAAACAAGCAGACAAAAGAAAAAATTAAGTGATCCGAATATACTATTATAACCTGTGCTAGGTGATTTAAAAATTATATACCAGATGCAATATCTATATATCTCTACTATAAGTCTAAGCTTAACCTTAAAATTCCCTCTAACCCAATTCCGAATCTTTTTAATAACCTAGTCCATATCTCAAACCAAGTGCTGCCGCAGTACTAGGATCTGACTCTCCATATATGGTGCCAATAATAACAAGGACACGATATTTCTGTAAAGGTACCGTCACTTGGGTACTCGTATTTCAAGCCACTTGGTGCCACCATCAGGGGTTTTTTTTTTGACCAGGACTCGATCCAGAGCCTGTACAACATATTCATCTCTAAACACGTAGTTACTATTTACCGGTCCATTCAGATTTGGTAAGTAAACAATGCCGATCTTTTGGAGGGGGTAAGCCAAATCCCCACTTTTTAGAAAATTTTTTGGAAACTAACGGAAAAAACGACAAAAAGTAAAGAGGGACTACTTGGGCTTCAAACTAATTTAAAGGAGTGTGAGTTTTCTTTTCTACAGTCAAGACCCACTGCCCAATACCTGCTTAACCTTTTTTTCAGTGAGTGATAAACTCTAGACTTGTCAGCAGGTAGCGTATGAGAACTGCCTCTAAACGACAAGTGCCAAGACTATGCAGTGAGTAATAAACTCTAAGCCTGTCGGCAAGTAGTGTATGAGAACTACTTCTAAATGACAGGTGCTATCTTACTGTTTAGGTTTTTAGATCAAGTGCCGGCTTGTAAGGTCTCTTTTTGTAGTAAAATCTTTTTCAGAAAATATGGTTCAAGTGATCATCAGAAAGAGTTCCCAAGATATGTATTCTAGATATTAACTGTTGTCTTGGTTTAGAATAAGATATAAATTGTACAAGTGCTGATGTTCATATGCTCTGATTTTTGGAATCTATAAGTAAAGCTAATTTTTTTAAAACTTTGAAGTTAAGTAACTTTTGATTTACTAGTCCATTTTAAATTATTTTACTACCAAAATATTCACCTCTTTGAGACAATTTCAACAAGTATAAAAATCCAATTACAGAATCATAAAAAAATGCACTGTCAAATATGGCACCTTATTTGACAGCACATTTTTTCATGATCCTGTAATTGATTTTAGGCTTGTTGGAATCGTCTTAAAGAGGTGAACATTTTGGTAATAAAATCATTTAAAACGGACTAGTAAATCAAAAGTTATTTAGCTTCAAAGTTTTTAAAAAAATTAGCTTTACTTATAGATTCCAAAAATCGAAGCATATGTTAAAACCGCACTAAAGACTCTAATGATTGTTCTTAGAGGTTATTATTGCTAACAACGTATTTCAAAATTTGAAATATCGCAATTAAATTTTTTAATCGATTTGATTGGTTAATAATATGTTTTGATCATCGTATGTGACAAAATCGAATTTTGTGACAATATTGAATGGAGTCAAATCCGCCCATATGCACAGATTATAATTTCGCGTTTCATGCTTAAGCGCGACACGTACGTACGTGCCTGATTTTGGTGGCGATACTAGATGGGTTATACTGTTCGAAGATTAGAGGTTTTTCAAGTGCAGATAAATGAGTATTTTATGAATGATTCAAAAAGAACTGAAAAAGTGAAGTAATGCTTTATTACATTTCGAGGTGAATATTGTAAATATGCTAATAAGATTAATCATAAAGGTAGCTACTTTGTTCGATGAAGCTGGCGAAGCGTACTATTTACATTTGCGTGATGATTGGCTAGAAACACCGATTTATGATGGTATGTTTAGAATCCTTTTTTAAATAAACTAAATGGTGTATTAAGTATATGGTTTGGAATAGGAAATGTTGTCAACGTCTTCGGAAATTTTGACAATGAAAACAAATGTATTGCAAATAATTCTCAAAGCTTCGTTGTCGTAAATCCCGATGTACTCATATCAGCAACTTCAGTCGCTGACTCCTTCACATGCATGAGAAAAGACATACTAAGAGAACGATTTAATGGAAATTTTTGCATTAATTCATCGACGGCATACGGAAGTTTATTTCATGAATTGATTCAATCGTGCCTTATCCAAAACAATTTTACCAGTCAATTTCTGGAAGGAGAGATATCAAAGGTAGTGAAAAGATCTATTGAAAGGCTTTATTCAGCGGATTTAAATGAAAATGATGTGATTGGAGAACTCATAGATGCTATCCCAACGATCCGTGCTTGGGCAGATAAATTCATTGGTGAAGTACCAAAACCAATAGAAGAGCACCTTTCTACCAGTAAAGCAAAGCTTTCTATTTCCATCTGCAACGTTTTAAATGTTGAAGAGCATATTTGTTCTATAAAATACGGCCTTAAAGGAAAGATCGATGCCTCTATTGAAGCTAAGGTATCGCAGAATGGGATATTAAAAAGAGCGATAATGCCTCTCGAATTGAAAACATCCAGGAATATATCACCATCTCATTATGCACAGACAATCTTTTATTGTCTTCTTATGAGCGATAATTACGATATTGATGTAGAATCTGGACTACTGTATTATTTAAAAATACAAAATGAAGAAACAGGGAAGATGTTAAATGTTCCTGTTGTTCCTCATGAATTGCGAAGTCTAATTATCCAACGGAATCAGTTAGCGTGGTATGCTTTAGACGATCAAAGGTCGATATTACCACCAATGATTAAGAACGAATTCCAATGTAAACATTGTAGCTTTAATGCGTCATGTTTTCTATATCACAAGGCAATAGAAAATGGCACAAGCGAAACCAGTGGCGTCGTTGAAATATTCGATAATAAGGTTGCGCATTTAAAAGACCACCATCTTGACTTTTTTCGTAAGTGGGATGAGCTCATTACACTAGAGGAAGAAGACATGTATCGGTTTCAGCCAGAAATTTGGAATATGCTTTCATCCAATTATGATGATGACCAATGTCTTAACAATATGTGCTTGGACCCAGAAACCATAGAGACTATCCCAAATGGTGAAGGATACCGTCAATTTAGATGCAAATTCATACGTAAAACGGGAAAAACAAATTTTGTGTTAGATACTCAATTCTGCATAGGTGACCATGTTATTGTATCTTCTGAATTAGATCATCGCACAGTGGCTAGTGGCTTTGTTGAGGACATTGCATCAAATTTTGTTTGGCTCACTTTGGACCGAATACCTCACGGTGGTTCAAAACGTAATTTCGATTTCGATATCGAATCCTGTCATAATTTCTTGTGTGCATCGAAAGAGACAGTGCATTCTAATTTAAGATCTGATATTATTGATACATTTTATCGGATTGACAAAGATGAGTTGACTTCTAGCATGAAACTTATTAGACAAAACCTTGTAAGCCTTCTTGTAGATAAAGAAACCGCCAAACTTAGAAGGTTGATCGTAGATTTCGAACCGCCTTGCTTTAATCAATCTATCGACACAATGCCTAATATTGTCGACGCGAAAAGTCTGAATGATGATCAAATTAAGGCTATCAAATTGGCATTAGATGGTTGGTCATTATATGTATATATTACTATAATATTCAGCAAATAGCATCCCTTGTTAATATGCCACCGAATCTGTATTATGAGATTATTTCACAAATAGGGATGTAGTAAATTATTCTGGACGACCAAAACATGCGATTAGTATCATACTAAGTATTTGCGATCTTATATAATGCGTAATATTAATTGCACATTGGGTCGTCCCAAATAGTTTGCCACATCCATACTCACAAATGAATAAGGAGTCCAGGGTATTATCGCTATTTGCTGAAAATTACGAGATATATATAAATACTCTAATATTTACTACTTTTTGCAGCACAAGATTATGCTATCCTTTTAGGAATGCCCGGAACTGGTAAATCGACCACGATAGTGCAAATCATAAAGGCACTTGTAAGCAATGGAAAATCTGTTTTATTGGCCGCATATACGCATTCTGCTGTAGACAATATTCTTTTTAAATTACTTAACGAGAAAATCGACATGCTGAGACTTGGCTCCAAATCAAAAGTTCGTCCAGAAATCGAGCCATATTTATTAAACATTAATCAATATGATAACGTTGACATGTTCAGAACTTTTATTGAGTCAAAACAAGTGATCGCTACAACATGTCTTGGTATAACACAGTAAGTATTTTTTTTTTTCTTTTTAATTGTTGCCTATTATATCGAAACGAACGGGTTTTTACTTACATATTTACAGCTACATATTTTCAAAGCGTAGATTTGATTACTGCATTATAGATGAGGCAACGCAAGTGACGCTTCCTATATGTGTGGGACCACTTCGCTTTGCAGATCGATTTCTTTTGGTTGGTGATGATTTTCAATTACCACCATTGGTACGGAATCATGAGGCCATTGAAAAAGGAATGGGGAAAAGTCTGTTTATAACCTTGACTGGAAAGCACCCGCGAGCAGTCACAAGACTCCGATATCAATACAGAATGCACGAAGATATCATGAATTTATCTAATTGTCTAATATACGATTACAAAATGCTCTGCGGGTTGCCAACAGGACCTGATAGTTTCCTGAAAATTCCAGGATGGAATAACAATTTCTTATCACAATTTCACAAAGAAAATGATAATCGTTGTAAAGAAGAATGTTGGCTCCAGACCGTTCTTGATCCATGGAAGCCAGTTGTAATGGTTGATACCGATAACCTTGAGGCGAAAGAATCCAGAGGACTGAATCAAAATAGTGTGGAGGCCTCGCTTATTGAGCAATGTGTTAAAGCCATGTTAATAGGTGGCATACCTCAGACCGACATTGGCATTATTACACCTTTTCGGCATCAGATTAAACTTTTATCACAAAAGTTTAAGGATCTTACTAAAGTTGAAATTAGCACAGTTGATAGATTTCAAGGCAGAGAAAAAAAGGTCATCGTCGTATCTCTGGTGAAAGCGAACGTTGATTATAGGGTAAGGATTAAAAGTGAAAGTTTACGTATCTTTTTGAATTTTATTTCAATTCACATATTTCGTTTTCTTTGTAAGATTGGCGATATCCTAAAAGATTATCGCAGGTTAAACGTGGCGATCACTCGTGCCCAATCCAAATTAATCATTTTTGGTAGCAGGTCAACTGTCTCCGCATCGGAAATAATGCGTAATATTATAGAACATATACAAAATGCACATTCAGTAAGTGTTCTATACACACATATTGATATCATATGTAGACTTAGTAATATTTTTTTATCAAATTTAGATGTGTAAACTAAAGGATAAGAGCACACCTAGTTGGCATATTGTTCCAAAGTAAAAGTGGATCAGCTTTCGAAAGAGCCAATACCGAATAACTCAAGCCTCAATTTGAATCTTCTGGTCTTAGTCTAGATTATAGTTCTAATTAATAAAAATTAATAAAGTAATAGTTGAATGGAGGCTGAATTTCTTGTACTGTTTTTTACTTTTGTTGGGTTTGATGCTATTAATAATATAGTTTAGAAAAGGTAATGATTTTATTTAAAAATTAACTTTTCAAAATTAAGCTTTAATTTTGCATTTTTAATTCATTTGAATATTATTTTTAAATATTTTAAATGTTTTAGAAAATACTTAGCATTATCTAAATATAACTATAAGTAAAGGTTCTATCTATTAACTGTTTAGCTATTTATTTATTGGATATCTGATTTTAATAGATAAATAGATTAATAAATAGATATCTGGTTATTTAATAAATTATTTAGATTATGTATTTAGATATTTGTTTGGATATCTGTTTGGGATATCTGCTTGGATATTCATTTGGATATCTATTTAGATATCTGTTTGGATATTTGTTTGAGAATCTGGATATCTGTTTGGATATCTGTTTGGATATTTGTTTGGATATTTATTATAAATATATTAGATAATTTGGTTAAATTTATTTGGATATCCAATATAATTAGATAGATATCTGGATATAATAACACGGATAAATAGGTAGTGGATTTATCCGGATTGGACCTCTAACTATAAATTTTTTTTATATATTTGATTTATTAATTGTTAAAAAGTAGTTAAATATTAGAGTTTATATTAAACTTGTAAGTATTAGAGTTAATACTTGGATCCATATTTAATTATTTATATTTGGATTTAGTTGTCATTAGATCCAGATATATGTGTAAAATCCAGATTTAAATATGCAAGCACATTACTTTTGAAACTGTTTTTGTTATATAGTGACAATACTAATGTTAACCTGTAATACCTTTTTGAAATCAAGGCTAACAGATCAATAATAACAAAGTTATGTAAGTACAGAAACATAAAACTGTGCAGTGATTTATTATAGATAAGTGAAAGGGTTTATGTTTTATAGTGATTTAGTATTTGAACAAGAGTTGCATTGCACAAAATGCAGTTGCTATAAGTTATTTTAATATAAAGCCAATTAAATTGTTTAGTATAATAAGCTTAATTAATTAGTTAAACTACAATATTTTCATTAAATAGAAATTGGACTTCTTATTTAAAAAATACTGTAATATACTAACTAAAGTACCTAGTGTAACAAATACTGTAGATTAATTTTTTAAAATATTATTTATATTGGCATGTGATATAAACAATTGTGTAATATTCGTGATTTTTAATTTTTCACTACATATCACATCGGGTACTTTGGTTTAGTGATATAAATTGAAAATTAATTAATCATTTAGTTGGCTGAGTTGACAACTAATTGACTATTAATCAATTAATTAACTAATTGATTAATTGATTAACTATTAATCGATTAATCGATTAATTAACTAGTTGCTTTTGTATTAATTGGCTTTTTAATAAAATTTTTATCAGATTTATATTTATAAATTAGATTAACTAAATAACTAATTGGTTAATCAATTAATCAACTAATCAATTAATTGATTAATTGATTAGTTAGCAATAAGGGAAGTGCCATTTATCAGCTAATTAGAGTTTTTCTAAATAGGTTACCTCTACCCTCTATTTGATAATAAATCCAGAATTTTAATTGGCTAAAAAATAAAAATTTTATATTTACAATTATTAAAAAATACAGTATTTTTACTCAAACTTTAATAATAAATATCTCAATAAATATTAATTAAAATTGATTTAAATTTTTATTATAGATAGTCTATATTCTCTTCTATTATATATAAAAATTTTAACTGATTTGGTTTGATAGTTCTCAAAAAATTGCTTATACAATAGTTAATTTTTTTAAAAAAATTAACTATTGTATACAAGCGATTACTTAAGTAAGGATTGGAATCGGTTTAGTTGACTAAAAAATTTTTATAGTAAACTACTATATTTAGTTGACTAATTAGTCAACTAAACATAGTAGTCAACTAAACTGATTCCAATTCCTATACTCAAGAACTACTAGATAAAATCAGCTAAAAGTTTTATATACTAGGAACTGGAAACCAATGTAAGTCCGGAGTACAAAATATTAAATTATATAAAAATTAAAAACCAATTTAAACCTAAAATAATACTAATAACTGAAAACCAGTATAAGTCTAAAGCATTATTGTCCAGAGCGAAGCAAAGGACTTACATTTCTACGACATTTAGTGACCAAAATTACATTTTTGATAATTTATATTAAAAATATCAAAAACGTAATTGTGGCATTTTCCGTCTGTAATGCCACGTGTCTAAATTTGCATATTTGTGTAACAAAAATACAGATTACGTGTCTGTTAAAGAATTTTTATTAAATAGACACCTTGTAGTACTGCTTTAACTAAAATCTATTGAGAATGCGAAAAACAATACTAGTATTAAGCAGGAAGATGCCAGGGACAAGCCGGTTAGGACTTGTGCGCTCATAGGTGGGCATTCGTCTGATTGTCTAATTCGAATCAATTGCCCAGATAATGAAATTTTTGTTTTATTTTCGATTATTTTTTTTTATTTTTTATTTTTTTTTATTTTTGTTATTTTTTTTTTAAATCCGGTTTACTAGACTACATAATGGCGGCTAGAACTAAGAAGTTGAGTACCGGTACCAGATTTTTTTGTTGTGTGTTTTTTTTTTTTTTTTTATGGGCTTGGACTGGTAAGATTAATATCATACATTCTAGCAAGTATGGATGATGCCTGTAATCAACATGAATTGAAGTTGAAAGGAACATATGATGTTGGATATTGCTATAATAAAGGAATTGGAATCGAAAACGATAAACATAAGGCATTTATTTATCATCAAAATCTGCAGAAATGCGAACACCTTTGTTATTTCTAGATATGTTTTTAAGGTAAGCTATTTAAATTTATAGATTTTTATCGCATTTCTTGTTTATCAAAAATCAGCAGAGAGATTCGAAAATAACCAATTAACCAAAGGTGTTCGCATCTCTACAGATTTCTGATGATAAATGAATTCTTTATGTTCGTCGTTTTCAATTCCAATTCCTTCATCATAGAATTATCTGAATCATACGTTCCTTTTCAATTTCAATTTATGTAGATACTGATATCCAACATTACATGTTATAGGCATCACCAAGTAAGCTATTTAAATTTATAGATATTAATTGCGTTTATTGTTTATCAAAAATCAGCAGAGAGGGGTGACGCCTGTAACATGTAATGTTGGATATCGGTATCAACATGAATTAAAGTTGAAAAG